GTTGTCATTCTAGAACAAAAAAAGAATAATTTATATATATTTCCTAATTTTTTATGGTGGTTACGAGATCAGTCAAATCAACCAAACCCATACAGAGATTCATTAGTGAAAATAACAGATGAAATATAAACTTTTTCGTAAGAAACATTTGATAACTATCTGAATGTTATAACGATTCCGCATGTGAAATTTGACAATTTTCTGATACATAAAACTATTTTTAATCTTAAAACGAAAATTACTTTGGACGTTGGATAGGCAACATACGAAAAGAAAAAAAAAGGCACGAGAAAAACACTGCTTAACAAAGCTTAAGACTTAATAAAAAAAATCTCATATTTTGCATAAGAAAGCCTTGTAATGTTTTCTGATAATCTGCCAAATTTCATGAACACACGCATACTAATTTAAAAGTTATAGCATGAAAACTATAACAAGCACAATATGGTTACGAAGTCAGTTCCAGGGACCGAGCTCGTGCTGAAAGAGTTAAGATAACTCTGAGTTTTCTTAACATATCTTCACAACAATTGGTAAGATTTTGTTAAAAATTACAAGTATTTTTTACACAAAGAATGAGATTATTTTAATTAATTAATATTAGTAGTTATTTTCATTCCCAATTAGGTAAATATGCTCATTCTAGTAAAAACTAATAAAGGCCAGTTTGTAACATATAGAAAACTTATATAACCCTATAGCAATAACACAGTGGTATAAAAACAAGCAGAATTACCTCATAAGTACACCAGAATGGAATGAAAAATGGAAGAATATTTAGACAGCAACTGCATGTTTTACTCTACTAAATACAGTACTAGGAAGTCCAAAAACAAGAAAAGAAGTTACTCTAGGAGACTAGTACCAAGGTCTTGCCATTAAACTGCTAAAAAGTGTAATACAGCAAAATGAAGATACAGAGAATATATTTGTAGTATAAATTACCTCCAAAACTTTTTTCTTTGTTTCAGCATTTACAGCCCCAGCCAAAACTGTGTTTACAGCATTTGTAATTATGCCTCTATTAGACTTGGAAGTGGGCTTCACAAACAGCTTAGGACCTAAGAATTCAGAGGTAACTGCTGATGACGTAGAGCCAGCATCAGATGCCCCATCACTTGAGGGACCTGAACCCTTACTACGTCCACTTGGCAAACCTGGTGAAAATGAAGAAGGGGCTTGACTTGGGGAAGGTGGATGTCGGGAGTCATAGTAAGAACTACGACTGGGACTTGTGACTTGAGGTCTTGGAGGTGCACCATAACCATACAAGGAGTCAATGTCTTCTTGGTCAACATCCTCTGCTAAGACAAAAATAACCTACTACATTACATTTAACTTCCTAAAGGCTTAAAACATAATAGTAATACTCATGTCCTTGTTGAAGTGCTCATTTATTGTCTAGTTATTTTTTTTTCTTTACTTACATTGTATTTTCTTTGACAAGTTCTAATAAAGGCCATTCACAAATTATTCCTACATCAAATTAATTTAGGCTTTAATCTCAACATTTTTTTTGGTACTTCTGCTTTTTGACTGTGAATAATAATGTTTGTTTTAAGACTGCATCATAGTGTTTTGAATCAGAAGAAATAACTGGGTGTTGAAAAAGATAAATTTCCAGGTCAACTTTCCAAGTAACACTAATCATATTGCACAAGCACTTGCAGTGCACAAAACTAGCTTATCCTCTTTTAATACAAACATATGGCTTTAAAGCACTTTCATTCTTTATTTATTCATTTCACACCATTAGAGCCATGTAGGATAAGTAAGCAAAAAACACACGTACATGTAAAATTGACCATCCAAAATTAATTCTCCATTTTGATTGCTATAGTTAGGAAACATAGTGAAATATCAGAATTTAGCATGATAGGTTCTGCTTCATTACTTACAGCACTCATATGATGAAATAAGTTAAAAGGTGTTAAATCAATGTGTTTAAATCATATTTTATGCCTAAGACAGGAAATGTAAGATACTAACTTCTATGGTAAAACTAATGTTTCCAGTTTAGTTTTGACAACAAATGATTTCACTACTGTAACTATGTGACAAAAAACAACACTTGGGTTGGTATTATAAAACTTTGTGAAGAGGAGTGTATCTTGTACCACACATAAAATGTGTAAAACAAAATGAACATTAAAGTCTTTTGCAGAAATCATAAAAAAACGCTATTTTTCATTTCAAGCTATCTTTAGCTTTGAAACAAAACTATTATCACTTATACATACCAACATAATTCCAGTATACCGTGAGCCTGATATAAGTATTAATTGTAAATTATTGAACAATTACATACTTGGTGTACCACAATATGAATTAGGATATATTTAAAAGTAAAAGGTATAAAACTAAAGGAATGGAAAAATAAACCAATTATATAGCTAGTCTATGATAAAAATTATATTTTTATTATTGTTCTTAATGTTCCACATACCCAGAAGTCTTAAAAAAATGTCACTTTCTATTTTAACAATGATCTGAACACTGAGATAATAGCAAACATACAATTGTTTTTTAGGAACATTATACACATGGATTTGTTAAGATTTCTGAAATATTTAAAAAATTACTTTCATTATTGGAAAGTGTATAACTTATGTAAACAAAAATATTTGCAATTTTGAAAAATGATCAAGGGTATTTTAGTTTAACAAAGTAATTTATAGTTGTGATCTCTGATTCCCAACAAAGGCAAGAATGTTTACAAACAGGGATTCTGGTCACTGAACACAAATTGTTATAAGACCAACATGCATACAAGATACTGTTGTTTCTCAATATTGTTGCTTTCCTTTGAACACAAAGAACATGTCACACTGGTATGAATCCTTCTAACACTATATACATGATTTCTATAATTAAAACACACTACTTCAGCTAAATTCAACATGTATCTCCACTTCTAGCAGGTACCATGTAAAATATTACCACAAGGACATGACTAAAAACATCAACTGAAAACAATATTTATCTTCACTAAAAAAACAAATATTTTAGGCTACAGAGCTCATAATAACTTCAACTACAGGAAATTTTACTGCATTATTTATAAAACAAGACATTTACGTGGAAGGTTGTTATGTGATCCTCTTCCAACACGTGCTACATCAAAACTCTCAAAAGATGACGGTTCTTGACTGAGGTTACCAACATGAACTGACTTAGGTCGAGGTCTGGAAGCAGAAGTAGACCTGCTAGATAAACAGAAAAACTATTGATCTTCATTTTTATTTCCTCCATCAAAACCTTATAAAAACATGATGAGAAATATAAAAGATACTCTTCATACACTAACACTTTAACTGAGCTTTACCTAAGTCAGTCATCCCAAAATATTAAATAATAACATAATCATAACTATGAGACAGTAGATTTTTCTGTTTAATAGGCGAGTTCTAACTACTTAAAATATTTTATATTTTAAAGAACAATAAACAAAAAAGAACAATAGTACAACTTGATGGTAAATAAAACTTCACTACAGTATAACAAATAGTAGAAAACAAGGTATGTTCTTAATCTACTATAACTACTTACAAACAAACAAGGTTCCTGTAACTTTTTTAAATTTAAGTTCCAATCAGGATCTATTCTCACTGACCTGGATTTACTTTTAGAAAGGGTTCCACTCCTACTTGAAGCATTGTGGTAAGGAGAAAATCCTGTTCCACTAGATCCACTTGGAAGAAGCAGTCCATTTTTTTCTGCTTCTTCTAATTCTTTTCTCTGCCTGTACTGCTCAAGGATTTTCTCTCTCCTCATCTTTTCTTCTTCTTTCTTCTTTTCTTGTATCTCTTTTTTAATTCTTCAAAAAATAATTCTAACCATGTTACCATTCTATATTAACTGTAGTATTCTGTCAACATACAGATTTCATTACTGAAAAACAACATTTGTAATACATTTTTGCCACTAGAGCTGGGCAATTTAATCAATTAACTGATTACCTATAAGCAGTGATTACATTGATTAATGTCACATAACTAATCAATTAATCAAAATTCTGATTAAATTGATATCAAATTTAGTGTTTCCAATTATTACTATTTTTGATTATTCTAACTATTCAACTAATTGAAATATTGCCACCAAATTTGCTTGTACTGCCTTTATTATGGAAAAGCTACTAAGGCTATCTGTCACTGTCACTAATTTTGATATGCTGACGTGAGAGAAGACAACTGCCTGGCAGTTCCCAACATGATTTGAGGAACACTGTAATAATCATTTAATGGGGCTGTCAATTAATCAATTAGCAAATACCATCAACCATCACCCAACTCTAGTTACCACTACCCAAAATCCACACCATTCTGTTTAACAACCAGGCAAAACCAGAAATTAATTATTGTGACATTTTCTTAATGGGGAAGACCTCATACAATTGCCTAGCACATCAAATTTTCTAACACAAAGAACAGAATCAAACCCTGGACCCTGTTACCAGAACATATCTGAAACTTAACACATAAAATTTAATCATAATTAGTATCTAATTAATAATTAGAATGAGGTGAACTTAGTCTTCTAACCAATAACAGAACCTTACTGTAAGTCTTTATTTTCTTATTTGTTTACATTTAAAATTAACAGCTCTTGTTCATAGGAAAAAAACATAAAACAATATTCTACTAAAACATTGTGCTTTTTAGTAAGAAATTTCCTCATATGGATTACTTGAGAAATAATAGCAGGGTAATTCATAGATCAAACTCTCAGAGATGTTTCTGGAAGAAAACCTTAAATCTCCAAGTGTTACAAGATACAAATCTTTCCTATTGTTTATTCAAGTGCAGACAGTGAATCTCAAAGAAACTATCTACTTAGCCATGTTGAAGAAAACAGTCATATAAGGAATCATGTAAAGAAATATATGTTCTTTCTGTTGTTTATACACATACATAAAGAGAATTACAGACATGTCTTGAAAGACAATGTATGATAAATATAGTTTATTTCAGTAAAGCAATATAATTGGACATTAAAATTTTATATTTCGGCTTATCCATTTGTTTATTCTAAGCTCTAAATTAAATTGCTTTTCATGTACTGAGAGAGCATTCAAAGTATAATAAAACCATAAAAGTAATGAAAGTGTATGTGAAAATGTTAAGTAATTGTAATTGCCAGTTAAAATTTGCAGTAATTCTAAAAAAAAAAGTATTTTAATTTTATTTTATATTTTTCAACTTTTCATTTTAATGAACATTGATAATTTTGCTATAGCTAGTGTTAGGGTAGATAAAATAAGAGACACAATTATAAAGTTTTAATAAAAAATTTTTAGTATTCATTTAGGAAGTTCAAGAGGTAATGTAAATGAAAACGGTAAGATGGAAAGAAGTATTTTTATTCTTAGAGCGAAAATTGCCTTTCACTCAGATTTACTCAGTAAAAAGATCTGTAAATTTACAGACAGATCTTTAGTAAAAATACGTGATTAAAAATTGTTTTTTTTGCACATAATGGACTTATAATGTTTACTAAAAGCTTATCAAGTTTTGTGCAGATACATTTGGTACATTCAGATTTATATATGTATAGTTTCATGATTAGATGATGGTTACAAGGTCGATCAAATTGATCAACCCAAATGCATAGTGTTAAATGATTATTTGAGTTCTCACTTACAAGAGAATTGTATGTATCATAAGTTACATTCATTAAACACTAGTGAGGAAAAAATACATAAGGAAATGAAGGTATATGAAGTGTTACTTTGTGGTATATTTTTTCCTCACTTTTATAACAAAATTAGTATGGCATATGGAGAGGTGAAGCAATGATTGTTCATTAACATAATGTTTTACAATATAACAAGAAGCAAAAGTTGAACACCACCATCATTTCTCTAAGTCCTGGTTTGCGAGATCTTTCACTACAATTCTGATCAGCCATAAAATCGTTTCCAAATAACTTGCTGAGCAAATAACCAATGTATGTATGTATGTATGAGATAACAAAATTTTTTTTCCAAAATGCCTTAGATTAAATTCTATCACAAACTGCTACTTCACAAAAAACTATCACTTCCATATTTAGAAGTACCATGTGTATACCACTCAGTGACACAAAACACTGACTATTTTCGAATTCTTAAATAAGAATGCAACAGCAAATGTAATGCACATAAACAGCACCTTTTCTACAACTGAGATTGGACTTGAGTGTGTTAACCAAACAATGAAGGTGATTTAAAGCTTCTTGATTTGTAAGCCATGTCAAACAGATAATGGTACATAAAACACATACCATGTTTCTTCCAAACATATTTACCAAATGCATGATACAAAGAGACAATACTAAACTACAAATCTAGTTAATGATGATAAACTATAGTAAAATTTGTTAAAATAAATAGCCTTACACATAATTTCTCAGATATTATTGAGGTAGTTTAATGTTCATAGCTTAAGACTGTTTTTAAATCCTGGCAGGGAACATTCTTGGTTTTACATGTTTTCACCATTGACTTTAATCAGTTTAGTCTTACCAAACCTTCTTTTATTTGGCTACAAGGATAACAGTAATTAAGAGTTTATTAAGTTGTCACAATAGTACAGAAAGCAGCCTTTTAACTCTTTGACGATGGTCTGGGTGGATTCCACCCAGCCCATATCCACCAAAGTAACCATAAAGCAGTTATATTTTTTAAAATATAAACGTATCTTCATGAAATTTTGCAGATTATCAGTAAACATTACAAGGTTTTCATAAATATCAGATTTTGTATGTAATTATTTGCTTGTGCATAATTTTTTTTTCAAATGTTGACTATCCAACATCCAAAGTAATTTTGATACTAAGATTAAAAATACTTTTAAGCATCAGAAAATTGTCAAATTTCACATGCAAAATCTCTATGATCTCTTCATAACCTCCAGATAATTATCAAATATTTTTTAGAAAAAACATTATATTTTATATGCTATTTTCTCTTTCTTATTTCTGTACTGGTTTGGTTGATTTGACTGAGCTCATAACTACCATAAAAAATTAGGAAATATATCTAAATTAAGCATTTTTTTTTCTAGAAAGACTACAAATTATAACACCAAACCACAAATGTTTATTCTAAATAGCTTAAATGTTGTAACATTATATATCTATATATACTTATTATTTTTATTTTATTGACCTTCCAGCTGTGTCTAACATTACAGAAGTTGCAATCCTGTGGTGCATGTGCAGCTTTATTACACCATTTTCAATAGTATAAAACTGGCCTTTACAAGGTACAGTTGTCTTAGCTTTGTTCTAGTGGACCAGTATTTTGTAGAATACAATCACATTTTGATTATAATACATTACGTATGTATATATATTATTACTATTTACAAATAAATTCTTAAGTTTCAGTTATTTTTCTTAAAACATATAACAGTAAGTAAAGAAATATAGAAAACAATGAGCTCTTCTACTTACAAAATTTGTACTCGCTTGCTGTAATTTGCTAAGCCCTGTTGAATTTTGCATATGGGGTATAGTGTTGTATAGTAATCAAATAAAGAGTAACAGAACAATACCTTATTCTATAAACTGTGAAAGTAACAGTGAAGTTTTATTTTGAAATGAGATGAATTACTGATGACATAGTAATAATTATTACTTAAAAGTTTAAACAAATAACATTCTAAATGTTTGGTATATGTTTTTTTCTGAAGTCATTTAATAAGTTGTAGAAATTACTAGTATAAATAAAACACACAAATAAAATGAAGAGTTCAATTTCTTTATAAAAAAGACACAGCTTAAATCTACTAGAGTACAGGCAGGAAGAAGTTATACATACTTGTTATTTCTAGCTGAAAATTAATGCATGTGATACCATGTAAATAAAGCATTCTGTGGCCCTCTTTACAGTATAGCTGCTAGTAGCCTTTCTCTATTATTATCTGGCAATTGTTCCTTCTCAACTAAGCACCATATCAGAGAATAAACCCATAACTGTAAATATCACTTTATCTTATTCATTCATTTAATATTTTTTGTCTGGTTTACATGGTTACCTTATACAATAACTGATTGCTACTTATGTCATATTTCAAACTGTTAGATGTACAAATATTAAGTGTGAAAGTTTGGCAATATGAAACATTTAATATTTTTCAGTATGAAAATTTAAGGTATGTGTTGTAGAATGTGTATGGGAGAGATAAAAAGAAATGGTAGATACCAACTCAATAGCATTTCATTATCATCACTATATATAAATATACACTGATGACTTAAATAAATTGCCAAATTACTGTTTTGTGCGAGTTTTTTAATGTATAATTATATCACACACCTGAGAAACAGTAAATTAACTTTATAGTTAAATGTAGAATTAAAAAACACTTTAATTTGAAAGAGGTATTTAATTAGCAAAAAAATTTACTGAAAAAAAGCAAAAATTCTTATTTTATCTATTTCATACTGTTAAGAGTGGGTGAAAGCAGCTGAATGAATAAGATATGGTAAAAGATAAAAGACTAAGTAAAGACAAATGTCAATGTTAACAATTCAGAAAAACCATGCATGTTATTCATGAATTTCAGTGAAACAGATTTTTAAAACATGAAAAATTCCTAATTAACTTAGAGGAAATATAATTATCTAAAAAATAACATCCAATAAGATACACAAAGTGTCAGATTTGTTCAAATTCAATGCTGTTGGAAAGAGAGCTTTCACCAGTTTATAAATATCACCTGTCTTTGTGCGAGAAGAGATAAAAAGAAATGCTGGAAAAGTTAGTTTTATTCTAACTAACCTTATGATGATACTTTTTTGACATTTTTCAAGTTCCTAAAAAATTTTCACTGTTTTCACAAACTTGTATAGTAACAGTACAGCTATCTCTAACTGCTCATCTCACGTACTTACTGGTTCAGAAGTTTAAACTAGAGTTTTAATAAGGAAAAATAAAGTTGAATTGTGAAAGTCAAGACCAATGAGAAGCTCATAATTAAATCTAAGTGTGGATAAGGTATTTGTATTATATCTTGTGATACTTTTTGCTTTGATTGTTAAAACATTGAGCAATAACTGTTGTAAAATAAATGAATAGCAGCTTTGGTGACAAATTATAGCTAACAAATTTTAATGGAGCTTTTAACATTTACAATAATTATAGCTTTTGAATTTTTGTGGAGCAAGCTAAAAAACTTCATTACCACTTTGTTATTAAGCTCACAGCGTGTATTTTTTTCAAAAGTCATATTTCAATTATAACAAACAAGGAGTTTAATTAACTTTTTAAATTTGAGCTTCCACTATACTGTTATGGCTTTTTCAGCTGCTGATTACACAAACAGATTTATATCTTTCTGTCAAACTGTGTGCTACTCCTCATACATGAAAATGCATTTTATATTTAGTTTCTTCTGGATGTACTGCAATTGTTCTACAGCAATCTAGATGTCTTATTTATGGCAAATTAATCACGAATGTTTAATTTTTTTTACCTATTTATTCACATGCACAGCAAACACTGTTAAGGTAGGCAAAGACTATGTTTAAACCTAGCACATAAACAGTTGATTTCAGCCAAAAGTATTCATTTACTTAACAATAACTTTTCTCCAAAACTTTATCTAAACCAAAACTTACATTAAAATGTTTTTTTTTTCATTCTATGATACTTATTCTACTTTAAATACATACTCACATTTCTTGTTCTTTTTTCTTTGCATTTTCATTTTCTTTAGCTATTCGTTTTTTTTCCTGCTCTGCTCTACGCTTCAAAGACATCATCATGATCACCTCCTTCTTTTTCTGCATTTCAGTTTCAGCATCCTGAAACATATAACTTAGTAAGCCAGTGCAAAAGAAAATTAATTATCCTTTTAAAAAATTTACTCAGTTTTAACTTCATAGGTCAGTAAAGTTAATCCTATATTCATTGTACATGAGTATTATCAATTTCTCTCCAATGGCTTCCTATTGTTTCTAAATCACAGATAATGAGTAAGTGTTATTTCTGAGATTAAATATACATAAATAAATTATTATTGATACTTTAAACAACAAAATATCATTTTACAAATTTTGTTTTTGAATTGATCCCAAGAAATACTTCAAATAAAGTAGAATTTTGGGGATAATGAAAAATTATGACCAGAAAGAACATGAATGGAGAAAGATGTTAAAAATGTTTTAATATCAAAAAGTTATTTCTAATTCCTAAATTAATTAAGAAAATATAAAGTTGGTAAAGATCCAAATTTACCATTTTGTACAAAAAAAAAAGTTTTCAGGAAATAATCATTACAAATGTAATATATTTTTTTAGATACAGTAGTAAAAGTAAATCATACTGGATTAGGATGAACCAAGTCAGCTCCTATAATGAACCCCACACCAGATGCATCTTTTTCACTGTTTTGATGTTGGACCTTGGCAAGAGTATTATTAGATTCAGCAGGCTTTTTCGTTGCAGCTTCCAAAGTTTCAATTTTATGATGTGATGAATCAGTTATCCGGGCTTCCCCTCTTGATGAAGATGGCTTTAAGTCTTGAGGTTTGGAAAACTGCATTTTTGAACTGGATTCCTGTGATTTCGAAGAATGTGGCCGTAACTTTGGTTTTGGTTTTTTAGGCTGAGCATCATTAAATGAAATGTAAAATCCTTTATCTGCAACGTCTACGTTTTTAATCGGTTGTGAAGGAAGTTGCTTTGTTTCTACAGGAACTGCATCAGTCTTGGGAGTAGGGGGAGAAACAACTTTAGGCTTGTGAATTCTAAAAGTTTTACCTATTTGTGGTCGACTAGGAGAAGAAGAAAGTTGTTCTTCATTACCTTTAACTGGACGTCCAAATTCATCAACTTCTAGTGTCTGAGCTATAGGCTCATACAGTTGGGCAGCTGGTATCCCTACCTCCACTATTTGTTTAGGATCCTTCTGCACAACATCTGACACTGGCAGAGTTGTTTCTGAAGGAGTTTGCTGTACTTGTGACATCATCTGGTTTGGAAAATAATTAGGCATTAAAGAATGTGGTTGGTCATGTAGCTGAAATGGCTGCTGTTGTTGTGAAAGGTTGGCTAGTGATGTGGAGGTTAAAGGATATGCCATTCCTCGATACTGCACAGGACCTGTAATACCAGTATAAGGTTGATAACTCTGCTCATCTGAACCTGTAATTTCCACCAATCCATTTTGGTAACCAGAATATTCATAGTTAATTTGTGCTGGTTGCAAAGAAAATCCTTGTGTTTGTTTATCCATGAATGGATGTCCAGACATCATTACTGGAGGAGGCTGCCACTGATGTTGCTGTGGCATTCCGGGTACCACTGGTTGGCCCCACTGACCACGGCGAGAAGAAATATTTGGCTGCTGTTGCTGATTGGTAAATAATTGCCCAATCATGTCTGGACGTACTATATCTGCCCACTGACCTCTCCTCATTTCCAACATTTGTTGGGATGGCATATGTTTGAAAGGGTGCTGATATTGCATTTGTATTTGGTCAGGAGGTAATCTTTGTTGAGGATGTTGAAAGTCTTGTTGTGTTGGATGGCCATGTAATCTTTCCTGGGGATG